CACCCTCATCGGGATACTGCACATGAGGTACAGCGTCAACGGGCCGCTCGCGCCGCTGGTGGGGGACAGAAAATAAAGCAAAACCCAAATGCTGCCTCGTTAAGCGGGAGCACTGTTGCTGGTTTGCACGTGTAGCATGTGAGAATTGGCATCGTGGAGGAAGTTAGTGCGTCTGCCAAACTTTACTCCTACTTTTGCTTCGACTGGCTTCGCGCTGGCCGATCTTCTCCAAGGCTCAATAACCAGATCGTATCAGTTACCTGCAAGGCTACGCAGTGTTGCATGCCCTTGGCCCAGAACACCCATCGCTGGTGGTCTCTGTTCTGCCACTGATTGCAGCTTTTCCTTGTGAATAAGCTGACCTGACACTGTTTGTAGTGAAAAATAACCAACCAGCATGTATTCTCCACGTTCTGCTTTCTTTCAAATTTTTAAAACTCGTTTTTGCTATGATCACCACGCTTAGATAGCCAAATCATAGTTGCTAGGCAAGTGTCTTGTTAGAAATTATCCACGCTCTTGTTGGTTTTGTCCTGGCTTGAAAGAGGGTAAATTTGCCTGCGAAGTCAGGGAGAGAGGCTGCTGTTCCTCTGAAGTGAGTGGAAGGCTTGCTGGGATTTTACAAGAGTGTTCTGTTTTGCTGCTCCTGGAAAAAATTTGCTTGCTTTCTCCATTGCTCAATATTGTTGAACCTTGGATAAATAAGCAGGAATTAAGCATGTATGAATTATGCTTGAAGTGATTTTTTTTTTCTCAATGCTTTTTGGAACTTCAGCAGTTTTTTATTAAAATATGACGCAACACAATGTATTGTCAAACACAGACCTGTTCATATTAGGTGTATAACATTTGAATAAGGTGACTAACATACAAAGTGATGGTGGTGAAATTTATAATATCCTACATATAATGCATTACTACTGTAAATACGAAATTCTGTCTAGCTTTGGGAAGGTGGACCTCAAATTTTATCTTAAAAGAAAGTTCTTTGGCATATACTGGAAATTCAGTAGCAAACTAACCAAATCAAATACAGTCATAAGCACTGAAGTGCTTATTTTGTTACTAGATCTTACTGGATTTTCAATGTGGGAGATTTTTACGGTAATAGTGTAACTGTTTTCTAAAGATTATCAGACAGCTGCAGGTGGTCTCTGGGCATTTGATCTTTTTGGCAGAAGATGCAAGAGGCAGCCAGAGCGTGGTTGTTCTTACCAAAAGTAGGTTACATCTTGACAACCGAGAAGGAGGAGCAATTTTTCATTTTGCAGAGATGCAAAGCAAGTTCTTATGGCATTTGGAACATGTTTGAAACTAAGTTGGATTGAGAGATTGTGGGTTATGTACCCAAGAAGTCAACGTGAAGTAACAAGATGAAAAAAAGAAAAGGTACTGATGTAGTTACACTAGTGCAGTTTCTTCTGTTGATCAGCCTTACCAGTCCTCCTTTCTGGAAGTTTACAAGTTTCGATGAAACTTGGAAAAGAGAAGTTACTCTTGACTGAGCGTTGTTTTTCTTTGATAAGGCTGTTGCCACCTCACTGAGTGGATTCAGTGTTAAAAACAGGAACTTGATCAGTTTTCTTTAGAAACACATCTGAAAATAATGCAAGGCATTGGAAGCATTGAAAGAAGTCTTTTATAGACAAAGTGAATGCAGCAGAATTATAAATAATTTCTCACTTATATAACCAACTTTAAAAAATTGTACAAGTTTTACAGGGCTTATTTCAGTTGTGGGTCAGCTTGTCAATACATAGGTGAAATTTTGTGAAAGACTTTTTTTCTTACTGTGATTGTAGGTGTTTTTTGTTATCGGTAAGAGCTTCATCCTAGGATGCCTTAAAGAATTAGAGAATGGAGATGATGTCAGAAATGTTAGTGGGAGCTGAAGGAGATGGGTTATCTTGTTTCTTGCCCCACCCCACCCCCCCAAAAAAAAACTGTGGAAGCCTGCAAAGACAGGGAGATACTTGTAACAATTCATATTAACTTCTTGAGAGCAAAGGAGTCTGATACATCTTTTTCCTTGGGGAAAAGAAGTTATACAGTTAAGGAAACAGTAGTAGCTTTTCTAGATCTGAACATTAGCTGAGCTTTATGAGTTTCATGACCTTCCATTGCACACAGGATACGTGAACTAATTTTCCATCTCTTCTCAGAAGAGCCAAGCTGGATTATCGTGTCCAGTTTTGTGGATTGCATTTAGATAATGATGTGGACAAACTGGATTGCGTTTAAGAGAGCAGACAGTGAATGATAATCTGTAAATTGTGATAATAGGGAATGACTGACAAATTGGCTTTGTTAGGCAAATAGACTGGGAAGGAGGGGGGAACTTGTCTTCGTGTGTGTAAAAGGGATGGGAGAACGCAGTTTTAGCAGGACTAGAAATATGGACCTTAAATATCAGAAAAATATTTGGTTGAGTGCTAGTAAAATTGTCTAATAGCAGAGATGCATACTGGAAGGGGGTAGAAAATATACTTCACAGGAGATACGTAAAATCAGGTTGGACAAAAGTATGTTAAAAGTCTTGAAGGAGGTAGAGGGACCAGGCAAGAGTTGTAAACGATTACCAGAAGTTGTGATTCTCAGAGTTAAACATCCAAATTTTGGAAATGCACAGTATCATAACCGAAAATGTGTCTTGCTTCAGTTCTGTGCCACCGTCACACTTTGTGTAGGTTTAGATGAGGATAGTTTTGCTTAAAGAAATGGATGCAAATCAGTCTGTCAGCAGATGCCATTTATGAGTAAACCCGATGTTGTCAGTAGATGGCACTGTGTTTCTTCTGTAACATTTGTGCTCTCTTTCGTGAGGGGGAAGTTTTTGTAAATTTGTTTTCTTCTAAGCCACCTGCTTGTCTGTTGTGCTTTAAATAGATTGCATTCAGTAGCGTCAGAGACTCACTGCTGTATTTGGTAATTGTTTTTAATTTCTTTAAAAGCCTTTATTTCCGCATTATTCTTGACTGGTAGAGCATTGTACATTCTTACGTGCGTCGGAGAATGCACATACATACCCATGTATATTTGCCAGGGAGAAGCTCCACTAAAGTGGATTTGATGAGACTACATATGGATGATAATAAGACTGTTGCAGTTATTTCAGGAACAATTATTATAAACTCAAGAAACTCATAGCTTGTGTGTAAACTATAAAAGTAGATAGTAAATTTATCCAGATGGCTTAAACCACAGTCTTGTCATGATACCAGACGGTAACATTAAATTATAATTATTACATAGTAACTTTTGGAATTTTTTGTTGGTTAGAAATGAATTTTTAAGACATTCAGTAGTTTCCACTTATTGGTTTTTCGCAGTGGTGAAATGATCAGGTGATCTGCTAGAGCTCTGCCAGGTGATCTGCTGGAGCTCACTAAGTGAGCTATGGTGAGCTCTGCATGCTGAAAATAAAGATGATGTTGATAGTATTGCCATATATAGAACATTTCTATAATGGGAGCATTTCTGAGCATGGGAGGGTAGTTATCAATACTGTTAATTATTAGGATGGTTCCTGTCATGCTCTTGGTCTGTATTCCCGAAGGCTTTACCACTTAGTGCAGTACTGTTCTGAAAACAAAGCTGAAATGCAGCCACCTCATTTTGCATGCTGGCAGTTAGCGGTATGAACATGGCCAGGCTTAAGCTAACTGGTCTCTGTGCCAAGGAACAGACCCTGCTGCTGTGTGGGTGCCTGGGACAGCTGCAGCTGGTGAGTTTCGGGTGAAACTGAGGGACATGGCGTTGTCTTGGCTTAATTTACCTGTTGTTCTCCTCTAGTACCTGCCTCGTACCTGTTGTGTGGGACCTGAGATGTAAGTAACTTTAATAAATCCAGGCGGGTAGGGTTCTGAGAGATGGAAGTGTGCCAAGGTTTTGGGGTATAAATCTTTCTTCCCATTCCTGTTCGTACACCAACAGGAGGAAAGGTGTGGAGCAATATGAGCGGACAATCTGTGACTTCAGACTGAGAGAAATGGGAGTTAGTGGCTTCTTGGAAAGAGATGAGTTTTCTGATTTAAGCCTCTGAAGAGCTTAAATTTACGGAGACAAATGGAATGTGTGGGAAGTATTTTAGAAAGTCTTTACAATTAATCTGCTGGATGGATTTTTCTGTGGTCTTTAGGTGGTACTACTTCGATATATTGAGATGAACCATTTGCCTTGATGCAGTGTCCCACATTTCTAAAAGAATAAACTTCAATATTTATTTTAATTCATGATTTATTGGAATAACTGGCAAGTACTCAAACAGTAGTTCTCTTCAAATTAAATATGAATGGTTATAGTGCTGGGTGGGAATATGTAACGTTTGGCAAGAGTGGACCTTTGATTTGAAATTCCAGTCTTAACTTCATCTTGATGGTGGAGTTCTGGCAGTTCCTTGAGGGTGTGTGTATGGGCAGGCAGACAATTCTCTCCAGGAAGTGAAGAAATGTAATAATTGTTGATGGCCTAGTAGGGATTAAGGTCGTAAACTTTAGCAGTATTACAGGTAGAGCTGGAAAGAAGTTTTTGGTGTAATCCCTCTGTGCCTACTTTCTACATTTGTGGGCTACTTCAGAATGGTTTTTAAAATACTTGAGGCATGTGCTTACTTTTTTGATACTTTTTGGAGGGCTGGCTTTGAGGCAAATCTTTTTGTCAAACATGGAAAGTATTAAATGTCGTAAATTCACCTTGTGTATTGTAGATTGTCTTGTCTGACAAAAGGGAGGTCTGTTTGCATACAAAAATCTGTACTGTAACAAGTTGCAGAGGAACAGCATTTGTCACCATTTGTCAGGCTCAATGTTTTTGTTTTACTTCTTAGTGACTTTATGGTGATTGAATGGCTGATACTGTTGCAAACACATTTCGTTTTTGCTTCACTTTTGTAGAAGGTAGGATATTTAAGATTAATATATGATCTGAATACTTACTGTGATGTACTCTGTGAAATATGGATTGAGAAACACAGACTATGAGACTGATCAAATATATAAACTAGGAAGTAGCTTGCTGACTTTATGGGAAAAGTTTTCTGTCTCCTCTTTAACATATCTTGAGGTACAAAATAAGGAAAACCTATTCAGCGTAATTGCAAAAATGCAATTTATGTGCCTTATTTATGCATCATAGTTATGATATTTTAGAACTTATCCATTGGAACAGTGTGTCTGGAAATTATTTCGCTGTAATAGAGAATTGGACAGATAATTTCACTGCCTAGATGTAAATTAACTCCAATTGTTTTTTGGCATTTCTCTCTTGAAGTAGAGTGTCCATAAATGAGATTTCCAATGGCTTCAAACAGCTACTTTTTATT